GCCGTGGATCCAGGAGGACCCCCAGATTGCGCACCCTCTCCGAGGGGGCCAAAGTTTCGCCCCCTATAGTCAGCGATGGAGTCAGCTGACCATACCTGGGAGCCGGCAACCACAGCCACTCAGTCTTGGAAGGGTTGAGCCTGAGTCTGTTTCTCCCCATCCAGACCCGTACGGCCTCCAGACACCGGGCCATCACGTCCACGAGTCATAAAAGAGCCAAGGTTGCCTACCCCTGTTCTAGGACATCCTAGCTTCAATGCAGAGGGGCTTATTCAGAATGAATAACTGGCACATCCTTGCAATGCAGAGGTGTTAGCTCACAGGACTTGGATGGACCCTTACTTTATAGGTAGTCCTTAATTTACAACAGTTCATTTAGTGACTGTTTGAAGTTACAACGTCTCTGAAAAAAATGACCTATGACCGTTTTTCACACTTACAACCGTTGCAGCATCCCCATGGTCATGTGACTAAAATTAGAATGCTTGGCATTGCTCTCTCCACTTCTCTCTATATATCAACGACTGCATCTCAAAGGATGTCTCTGTTAAAGTACTGAGGTTTGCAGATAATACAATTGTGATTGAGCTCATTCAAGACAACGACAAACCTTCATACAGATGTGAGGTTGAACGGAACACATTAAAAACTGTATGATAGTAGATTTTAGGAGAAACCCTCCTATTCTACCATCTCTTGCAATGCTAGACAACACAGTACCAACAGTAGAAATCTTCAAAGTTCCCGGTTCTATAATATCTCAAGATTTAAAATGGACACCTAAGATCAAAAATGTCATCAAAAAGGCACAACAAAGAATGTTCGTCCTGCACCAACTCAGAAAGCTCAGACTGTCCAAGGAGCTGCTGATGCAGTTCTACAGAGGAATTATTGACTTTGTCATTTGCACCTCTATAACTGTCTGGTTTGGCACTGCAACCAAACAAGACAGACACAGACTTCAACGGATAGTTAGGACAGCAGGAAAAACAATTGCTACCAGCCTGCCTTCCATTGAGGACCTCTATACTGCACGAGCAAGAAAGAGGGCTGTGAAAATATTTACAGACCCCTCACATCCTGGACATAAACTGTTTCAAATTCTTCCTTCAAGACAATGCTATAGGGCAGTGCACAACAAAACGACTAGACACAATTTCCTCCATGCCATCACTCTGCTAAACAATTAACCCTAACCCTAACCCTAAACAATGAATAGAATAGAATAGAATAGAATAGAATAGAATAAGAAATAGGAATAGAATAGGAAATAGAAATAGAATAGAAAATATGGAATAGAATAGAATAGAATAGAATAGAATAAGAAATAGGAATAGAATAGGAAATAGAAATAGAATAGAAAATATTCTTATCTTATCTTATCTTATCTTATCTTATCTTATCTTATCTTATCTTATCTTATTCTTTATCCTTATCTTATCCTTTATCTTTATCTTATCTTTTATACCTTATCTTATCTTATCTTATCTTATCTTATCTTATCTTATCTTATCTTATCTTATGAATAGAATATGGAATGGAATGGAATGGAATTAAATGGAATGGAATAGAATAGAATAGAATAGAAAATGGAATGGAATGTGGAATAGAACAGAACAGAACAAAACAGAATAGAGCTGGAAGGGACCTTGGAGGTCTTCTAGTCTAGCCCCCTGCCCAAGCAGGAAAATCTATACCATTTCAGACCAATGACTGTTTAGCCTCTTCTTAAAAACCTCCAGTGATGGAGCACCCATGATTTCTGAAGGCAATCGCCTTATCTTCTTATGACTATATTTTTGTTGCTTGTATCTTACGGTTTATATTAATTGTTTTATTTAGTATGATAGTATGATTTATGTTGTTTGCTTATTTAGTATCCTATGATTATCGCTAAGTGTTGTATCTTATGATTTATGATGAATGTATTTTTATGTTGATTATGATCATGATTTTGTTTGTATATACACCGAGAGCTTATGCAACTGGAGACAAATTCCTTGTGTGTCCAACCACATTTGGCCAATAAAGAATTCTACTCAATTAAAAAAAGGGGGGGGGGAAATCCACAATGCTTTTGTATCACTTCTTATTGAAATTGATGA